TTTTTTTTTTTTTTTTTTTTTTTTGCCGTGCAGGGAATTTCTACTCCATTTGATCTCTAGCAAGCGTGTTGGTCCCATTTCTGACAATTATGAAAAGTGCAGACCAACGTAGCGTTAAGGTAAGAAGAACGACAACTGAACAGTAAAACCCAAGAGAAAGAGATAAGCAATTTCTTGGAGAGAGACAGTTAAGGCCAAAATTTTTGGTCAAATATGGAGTGGGGTATGCATGTCTGACGTAAATTAATGGGCATTGAATTTTGTTTAAGTCACTGATGCTTTTAACAAGTCTATAAAAATAAGTGCCAATGCAGGAATTAATCGTCAATAAGTTTTCCAATTAATATTCACCCGTTTGAGCAATATGATTTCGGTCTCCAATATTTCCATCTTTCTAATTGGTTCAGTAACATGGAATATTTTTATATTTTCATGTATTGTAGCTAACGTGGAAAAAGCCGTTTTCCAAGTGAAAGCTTCTGAATCAATATCACCGGCACCAACACCAAGCGTTGATCATCTCAAAGATCCAGAAGCGCAGTGCCTGAGCCAATTTCTAACTTGGTGGTGGAGCGATGAGTACATCAATACCAGCACTAGTCATTGCAACTGGCCTGGTGTAACTTGTAACCAAGCTGGGAAAGTTACTGAACTTTCTTCATACCACGAGGGAAGAATTGTGTTTCAGAGGATGAACTTAGCATGCCTTCCAAATCTAGTCTATCTGAGTTTTTACAGAGCCGGACTCACAGGTAGCATCCCGCGAGAGATAGGCAGTCTTTCAAAGCTCACCCACCTTGACCTATCCCGGAATCGTCTGATAGGTGAGTGGCCTCTCTCAACACTAGCCAATCTCAGCCACTTGTTTAAGCTTGATCTTTCTTTTAATCAATTAAGTGGTCCTATTCCATCAACCATTGGTCTTTTGAAAAATCTGGTTGTTTTGGATCTACGCGAAAACCACTTTAGTGGACCACTACCATCTTCTTTGGGTAATTTAACCAACTTGTCGGAACTGTATCTTGATTCAAACCAAATTAACGGTTCCATCCCTCCAACTCTAGGCCGTTTAATCAATTTATCTGTGCTAGACATCTCTTCAAACGACATTAGTGGTTCTATCCCCTTGGAACTTGGGAATTTGGAACATCTAAGCCATCTACTTATTAGCAAAAACAAGCTCGAGGGGGCGCTCCCTCCAACCCTGGGCCATTTGATTTATTTAAAGGAGCTAGATATTAGCTCTAATAAAGTTAATGGTTCTGTCCCCTTAGAATTACAAAACCTAAAGAATTTGGATACTCTCAATCTTGGTTATAACAAGCTCCAAGGTCCAATTTTTCCATCGCTGAGTGGTTTAGCCAGTTTGACTTATCTTGACCTGAGCTCAAACCATTTTGATGGTCCCATAGGTCATGATATTGGAAATCTAAAGCAAATGATTAAGTTGGACCTATCAAATAATGAATTTTCTGGGACAATGCCTCAACAGATTGCCCAATTAGCAGGATTGGAGCATTTAGATCTTTCCCAAAACAACTTAAGTGGAAGCATTCCCACAGAAATGTGTGCTTCTCTATATTTGCTAAAGACCTTAGACCTCAGTCACAACTTCCTTGGTGGGAAAATACCCTCTCAATTGTGCAGCATGATACCTTTAGAGACGATCAACCTTGCCTTCAACAATTTCTCAGGCGAGAATAACTGTTCATCTCAATACTGCACGGATGGTAATCTAATATGTGTGCCCCCTTATTCTCAGACAAAGGGAAATGGAGTCATCTCTCATTCTGAGGCATTCATCTTTCTCCATATAATTCTCCCTACCGTCTCTCTCTTTTGCTTTCTCTTCATTGCGTTTTTGCTGATCAAGAAACGTACATTTCAATTGTTCACCATCAAGCGTAAGCAAAATGCCCAGCCTGTTTGTCAAGAAACAAAATGCGCATGATGTTGTTCTTGTGGCTATGCTAGCATTGGCATGCTTGAATTGTAAATAAATGATAATGGCAGAGACAAGCAATGGTGGAAAACTGAATGTATGTTATTTTCAGTATATGATGTATATATACTGAATGTATGTTATTTTCAGTATATGGTGTATATATATATACATGAGAGTCAAGGTAAATGACAGACTAATTCTAAGGCTACAATGTCGTGATCCCTTTTAGTGGGATTCTAATTACACTAATATAGGAAAGTGAATAAAAGACAAAAAGGGTAAATAATCAACACTATTATAATACAGCTAATATAATATATTTCCTAATACTCCCCTTCAAGTTGGAGAGTGAATGTCATAAAGTCCCAACTTGTTGCGCAAACTCACAAACTGATCCTTTCCTAAGGCCTTGGTAAATACATCAACTAGCTGTGATTGAGAAGACACAAAAGAAGGTTTAATCATTCCAGCCTGCAACTTTTCTCGCACTATATGACAGTCTATTTCAATATGTTTCGTGCGCTCGTGAAAAACAGGATTCGCCGCAATATGCAAAGCTGCTTGATTGTCGCAAAATAATGGTATAGGTGCTGTCTGAGGAACCTTTAAGTCATCTAGTACATAACGTAACCAAGTTAGCTCCAAGCATGTGTTAGCCATGGCTCGATATTCAGCCTCGGCTGATGATCTAGAGACGTTGGCTTGCTTTTTGGATTTCTATGATATGAGAGATTTTCCAAGAAAAATGCAATATCCAGTAACTGATCTTGTTGTGTCATGACAACCTCCCCTGATAAATTGCTGGTCTATTCTTCTGTGAAAATTGTTCTTGAAAGTCCTGCCACACTTGACGTGCTGTTTTGGCGTGGATAACCCCCTGGGCTAGATTAGGTTCCACGGAGTGAGTGAGCCATGACAAAATCATGCTGTTGCATTGGTTCCAAAGGGCATATTCTGTTGGGTTCTCCGTTTCAGAGGGTGGCTCAATAGAATCATCAATGAAACCAATTTTGTTTTTGGCTGTTAGAGCATGAATCATAGATTTACTCCATGATGGATAATTCGAACCATTTAGTTTTGTTGGAACAAGCAAGTGACCGGGTTGATCCGAATGATGAACGAAATATGGATTGGATGGATCCATAGTTAAAGTGACGTTGCTGGTTTTTGGATTTGTGGAAAGAGATTTTTCCGTAGATGTTTGGCTTGTATTTGTCATGAGATTTTACTGGTTGATAAAGGTTAAAAATGGTTAGGCACCAGGATGACGCTCTGATACCATGTAAATAAATGATAATGGCAGAGACAAGCAATGGTGGAAAACTGAATGTATATTATTTTCAGTATATGGTGTATATATATATACATGAGAGTCAAGGTAAATGACAGACTAATTCTAAGGCTACAATGTCGTGATCCCTTTTAGTGGGATTCTAATTACACTAATATAAGAAAGTGAATAAAAGACAAAAAGGGTAAATAATCAACACTATTAAAATACAGCTAATATAATATATTTCCTAATATGAATGCCAAACCGAAGTGTCGGCCAACAATGAAGCAGATTTCTCAATTGCTTCTTTCTCGCAGAAGAACATTAGCCAAGCATTTCCTCGAGATTTCACTGGGGCAGCTCATTATCCCAGATGTCTACGTGGATGGCGAATGTGAGATTGGTACCAGTGATCTTCAATGATGTTTCTTGCGACCAGGATCTTCTGTTGCTTCATTTATAAGTTCTTATGTACTAGAAATTTGCAAGTGAAGACTATTCTCTAAAACACTAATTTTTCACTTTTTCAAGTACTAGTGCATTTTTATCTTTGAACGTCCTTCAATCTTTCTTAAGAAAAGCAGAATAATAAGTAAAATTAATAAATTTATGAGTAGTTCTTGAATTCTTTAATCTCTTTAAAATTAGTCCATGTAGTCCCATAAATACACCCTTACTATTTCAAAAAAATAAATAAGTAAATAATCCCTTACCTAAAAAACACTTACATGGTCCCATTATTAAATTTTAGATGATAACTCATGGTCCCACTGTTAAATTTTAGATGATAATTGTTAACTTGAACTCATGAATGGTCCCTAATCTCTTTTTCTCTCTTTAAAAATAGTTCTTGAGTTGAAAAAAAAAAAAAACAAAAAAAAACAAAAGTTAGCCCCTTTATTAAATAAATGGATGAAAAACATTATATCTAGGAAGTTGTAGCAAATTTAGTCGCCAAACTTTAAAAAGAAAATGTTAAAGTTAGTCACTTTATTAGATAAATAAATGGAAAAGATTAAATACCCACAATTTAGACCCTAAATGAAATCATTTTTTAAAACATTTTTCTAAAAGAAAAAAAAGAAGGATAGAGAAAAATTATTTGTTTTCAAACTCTATTGCTACACAAATCTTTTTCTTGTACTAAAAATTCCTTGTTTTCAAAAATTAGGCCAAGACTAGGGTGAGCATTCTGCAAACACTGCTAGCCTGGGGAAATATGTTTTAATCGTGTGCAGCATTCAGCAATCTACTTGCTACATTCATATAATCACTTGTCAACTAGAAGGTAAACTACTGATTTCATAACCTTCAATAAATAAAATGGTAAACCCAAGGCTGGAACATTCTGGTTAAATTTCAACGTCTTATACAATTTCCTAGCCCATAAGTTTCTGTTACTCTCATTCACCCCTCAAAAATATACATCCACACCAATGCCAAAGTCCGCCTCAGAGTTTGACTTCTCTAACATATTTTCAAGTATACTCAAAATCTTATAGTATTATTTGCTTAATTTCAATAGATGTTATTGTATTTAGTGTGTTATGAATTTTAAGATATTTCTAATATGTAAAAAATAAATAAAAGTATATAATTTTCGTATCAATTTCGGGTTCACGGGTTAATTTCGTGTCACGGGTTATTTTCGTGTCGTGTCATGTCAACCCGTAAAGTGGTCTGTCGTGTTCGTGTTGCGATTTTTAAAAAATTCCGTGTCACGGGTCGTGTTCGGGTTGATTGTAAATTTAGAAAGAAACGATCAAAACACGACACGTGACACGAATTGCTACTCCTAATTAAAAGGTATATTAAATAAAAGTAATCGTAAGAAATATTAATTAAAAGGAAAAAAAATAAGAGATAAGCATTTTAAAATGTTTTTTTATGAAGCACGAATAAAAAAAAAAGTTTTCATAAATAATTTATTTGATCATTTTGTGAAAGGTATTGCCATAATTTACTTGTCACTGCCATGTGAGATTATTTTAATAATTGTTGGTAATTACGATAATTAAGTGTCATATGCATGGCAGTGACACTAAAGAAAATGATCAAATTCTAATCTCGAAAACTAAAGTGAACGTTTCCAACCTTGTGCGGGCATATATATCAAAATAAAACGCATATGCTCCGGAAAATATAAGTTATCATGAGGATCTGATGGACTAGCATATATTCAAGCTGCAATATAACGGTCTAAATTAGTTAATCCAAATTAATTTGTCAATTTATTTAATTACTTTATACAGCTCCACTAAAAGTCAAAAGATGTACTCTTAAACTACGTAGTAATAATGAAAGCTTATGAAACGAATTATTTGTGGAGAATGTCAGTATCACTTTTTCTGTCATTTTCAATATTTACTATTTGATACGTGTAATCTATTAATATGATATAGTATATTAGTATTTACACCTTAAAGTGTGTTTGGAAGGAGGGAGAGATGGAGGGAGTGAGATGGGTGGAGGGAGAGAGGTGGGGCCGGGGGAGAGAACAATTCCCTTGTTTGGTTGGATGGATGAGAGGAGGGAGAGACTCTCTCCCTCCGGGCTCACCAATTTGGATCCTTCCATCAATTGAAGGATGAAACCAGTCCATCCAATTTTAAAACTAAAAGTCTATTTTACCCCTAAAAGAAATTATTACCAAATAAATAAAATAGACAATATAGTAATTGGACAAACAACTATTATCAATCCTTTCAACTCTTCCTCACTCATACCAAATAACATGAATGATTACTATAATCCTCTCAATTCTTCTTACTCTTCATCCCTCCAACTCTTTTCATCATTCATACTCTCCATCCCTCCTACCAAACGGAACCTTAATGTTATGTTTGGTATGAAAGAAAAGAGGAATGAAGGGAATGGGTAGGGGATTATTGGGTAGAAAATGATAAACTGAGTTGTTTGGTAAGAATAAAGAGAAAAAATGAAAGGAAAATAGAGTGAATAAAAGTTATTGTGGAGCCCAACAATTTTGATCTCTCTATTGGTCAAAAACTTAAATTCACTAATTGATGACTAAAATAACTTTTTATCCCTATTTTAAAGCTAAATTAATATTAAATAATTAGTAAAATAGTCATTTAGTTTTTCGGGCATGTTTAGCTTTCATCAAAGAGAAAGGAAAAGTGAGGAGTGATTCCATTTCCCATCTAATAATGTGTTTACTTGTAAAATTAATATTGAAAATTTAGTGAGCCTCATACAATATAGGGAATGGAGAAAGAGAATGTCAATGTGTTTACTTGTAAAATTAATATTGAAAATTTAGTGAGCCTCATACAATATAGGGAATGGAGAAAGAGAATGTCAATTCTTATACTCATTTTAGTATTGATTTCTTGTCAAAGACAATAAAAGCTAAATTTACTTTATTAAATTGTATAAATTGACATTTTAGTGATTACATTCATAATATTGCTATTCTTAATTTTAATAAACATGTTATTTTCTATTATAAACATATTATTTTCTATACAGTCAAGTAAACATTAAAAAAATAAATGACTTTAATTTTATTATTTTACTTTTATTTAATCTCATTACGGGCACGTTTAATTCGCTGATTCGAATTTAGATGTGATTTTATGTGAAAACTTTTTACTGTAACAAAAAAGTTAGATGTAACTATTTCTGAAAGCTTTTTACTGTAGTAAAACTCGAATTCTAAATTCAAATTGGTAAAATGAACGACGTCTATATTTTTTATTACATTCTTTTACGATTCGGTAAACGTGCCAAAAGTCTTAACTATATTAAAAGAGTAGAAAGTTGCTCACTATGGACTTTGGTAGTCCATTGCGCA